ACCCTAACGAGTACCAACAACCTGGCTGGCGTGCTGCAAAACCAAGGAAAGTACGAGGAATCAGAGATGATATATCGGCGGACACTGGAGAAGCGGGAGAGGATTCGTGGACCAGACCACCCCAACACCCTAACGAGTGCCAACAACCTGGCCCTCGTGCTTAAACACCAAGGAAAGTACACGGAATCAGAGATTATTCTCCGGCGCACACTGGATGGGTATCAAAAGGCCCTTGGGCCCGACACCCCAACACCCTAATAAGTGCCAACAACCTGGCCATTGTGCTACAAGAGCAAGGAAGGCCGGCTGAATCATAGGGGACAAAGTGGTAGGCGGGAGAAAGATTACAAAGAAAATCAGACAGGACATGACCGTGATCAGAACCAGGTGCGGCAAGGACAAGGGCCGGCCAATTAATTAATTTTGCAGGCATTTTGGCTAGAATTCCCGTGACCGGAGTGGGCTGCCAGCTTCTGCTAGCGTGTGGAGCTCCGTATATTAGCCAAGAAAATGCGGGGATCGCGCGAAAGTGGCAAGAACATCGAATTACAGCTACCGAGTAGCGACTATTGAGAATGTTTTTAGTAGGATTGAGGGATGCTTGTCTGCAGTGAAAGTGCCGGGTATTTTGACCAACTCTTTAGATATTATTTCCCCTTATTTTTTGCCAATTTGAGTTCTTTATACTAGATTGTTCGCATGTTGTCCAGGTGGCTACCCTCATGTATAGATGTTTAGGGTTTTGGGCGATCCAGGATCAGGAGAGGAGGCTCGACAGTCATGTATTTCCTTTATCTACTGCCTTGCTTGTAGCTGGGAAACACAATCATCTCATCCCATCATCCACACACATCCAGCATAGATATCATACCAAGGAAAGTACGGGGTGCCCAACGGTGCTTGAACAAGATGACGATAGAATCCTACAAGTACCGACTATCAAAAACTTGGCGATAATGTCGCCCAAGCAGCGAAATTATCATGAACCAGAAGCGATCTCCCGCTACCTAATTACCCGGTCACAATAAGAAACTTCCAGACCCAAACTATCCTGTCAAACACATTGCTATCAACCATTCCATCCCAGCTCTCAAGGATTGGGGAATGCATGATGTGGAAAATCCACATCGAGAAGTAGTCGCAGCTTGGAAGAAGGCACTGTACCTTGCTCCCAGTACTCGTGTATGCCGAGGATCCCGTTTACTCATTTTAGAAATAGATGCGTTATCCCCAAGCAGGGGAAGCCAATCAGCAGCCTACCGATATACTCTATAAAGCCCCCCTTAGAACAACACCCATCTCCCTGTAACGCGGGAGAAACTGATAGCATTACGTCAGAAGCAATTCTAGCTTAAGATCATCAGTCCTGCGGGGGGGGGGCAAGCGACTGCCGAAAGGCCAAGGGCCAGCGCACACCTGACTCCATGGGCTTCTTTTTTTGCTGTCTGCCTCCACCCATAACAAAGAGGAAGAGATCTTGAAGAAATTCTCACCGAAAGAACAGGATATGTAATTAACCTTAGATGAGTGATACTAAGCGGGAACACAGAAATGGGGCTATGATGGGATGTTTCGTCAACCAGTCCGGGTAGGGGTGGCTATTATCACTGCGCGTGATCAGAACTGGTGGATTGCCGATTCGGAAGAAAGAGTGAATTGGCTAGTTGTAGAATCCAAGGTGTATAGGCGTAGAACTGTTTAAATTGGTAGCGCTCTAGATTATAAAGGTGGGGATTGTACAGCCACTTTATAGATAGAACATCCTGCCCTTCCTTAGGATTCCTTTCTACCCATCCGTTCTGCCAAATTCCCGACCCCCCCCCCTTCTTGCATGACTCCCCTAGGGCTCCCCATTAAACCATCTTCATCTCATATCCGGCAGACCTCCGTTGCACTAAGCCATAATTTGAAGAACTCCATCATCCACACATCCCGATCTCGTGACCTTTGCGGATTTCTTTGTACCGCGGTAAAGGCCTAGGATACGAACACCGGATGATGACCAGAATCAAGTAGTTCCTCTAGGGTTGCTAATAGTTCGACCATCCCTGTCCGGGGGACCGAGTGAGTTCTAGTGATTCCAACTAGAATAGGGACTCCGTCCTTGCTTTCGTTGTTCGTTCATAGATGGGTGGACCTCCAAGCCTATTATTCATTTGCCATGTGTCCCCCCCCCCACCCCTCCCCCAATCCTGCACCGCCCTCTAACAAAATTGCCCACAGCTTTTGCTTCCTTTCCATCTCCTCCAAAGCTGTCAGGCTTGGTAATTTCTCGTCGTTGGTTTAACATACGGCCATATTTCTTTTCTTTTCTTCTTTCCTTCCTCCCCGGCCGTATGGATCAATCCCAAAACCCACTCTCGGGCGGGGCCCCCGGACAGCCAATATCTACCATCCGAATACCCGCTTGCACATCATCATATAATATTTGTAGAGTAGTAAGACGGGAGTTGCAAGATAGTCGGGTCTTTGATTATATATAACGTCGCTCAATTAGATCTCGGCGCATTTTAAATGTAGCCTCCTAGACGAAACGCTGTGTCCAGCTGGGCTCAGGAGGCGAATAAAGGGAAATAGAAGAACAGGCTAAAGATTGTATCTTTTACTCCAAGTGGTAGACTAGTAGTGGTGCCAGTATTTCATGAATGAAGTACATAAAATGGATAGCAAATATGGGTAATGGAACCCGAGACATCTAGCCATCCGTATCGGGGAGGCCCCTACCGGTATTTAGTGTCGGAAAGATTAAAACGGAAGGGTCCGACTATCGGGCACCCCAGCCACGCCCTGAAACCGCGATTGGATCGGCCTTCTTCTTTTGCTCACTAACACATACAGATCGGCTCGGCAGGTAAGTTACTTTGTGTCAAAAGTGTTCAAGTTATGACTTTGTAGTTCAAAAATGTACCGGCCATATCGGCTTGAGCGCCCAGCATGTCGACGGCTCACTATGAGTCCTGCGCCATCTGAGCTACAATATCAACCAGATTGCCCACAACCTATAATACTCTCTGCCCACAACTCCGGAAACTTTATTCGGTTACCCACCGGCATTTCTATGGCCAACTTGCACTCCCCGCTCCACAAATTCACCTCGGGATAGACAGTCGGAATGGTTACTCAATATCCGCGATAGAGCCCGCCCTCTGCCTCTTGGTGGTTCCACTGCTCCTCGTATCCGCAACATGACTCTGCAACAACGACGCGATCAGGGGCCTCGACTTGCCTTTTCTAATGCAATACCCGGGCCTATTTTCGGCTGTCCAAGAATCACCTCGTGATAAGCGGCCCCTTGACAGTTTTTGTTTTATGAATATTTGGAGATTTAACTAGTTATATGCCTGGTGGGCATCCCCAGGATAAACAAAACAAATTAACTCTAGATTGTATTTGCAGATGCAAGTAGCTAGTGATAACTCGACAATAACAGGGAGATGGCATGCGGGGGGTGGTGAAGTGTTGAAAGCAGGGGGTGGTAGGTATCGATCGATAGGGAATAGGTGTTAGGTGATGGGTGATGTGACAGCAGTTAGTCGAACCTTTGGACAATAGATAAGCTGGATGCAGCTGACCAAATTCATGGCAACATTTGGGAACGCTCAGGAATGATAGGAAGAAGACTTTAGGGAATTTCCACAGCTTCGCTCAATTAGAATTTTTAGTCACTTGCTAAAAAAATTATCTCTAAAGGTAGAATGAACCCCACACCCATTTTTAGGGAATCTGCCCATTAACAAACATTAATTCCCTCGGATAGCGTTAAAATCCACCAACCGGTGCTCATAAATCTATCGACGGACAAGATACTGTATTCCTCTCCACTTGGGCGTGCATTTGTATCCTACTCAAATACCGTAGCATGGTAGTTAACTCCTTGCCTCTCCGCAGAGATGCAATTATACGTTCAATGAGATGCTTTGTTGCTCGGGTCGGGTGTTCATAGTATCTCTCCTCTCCTCACTGGGCACCCAAGAACCGCCCAAGCTCGGTTACTATCATTAAACATGTGAAATAATTGGGGGAACGGATGGTAGTGGCCACTATTGCCCCGGTGTGCCTTGATTCAAGCAGGAGATCTGCTGGGACCGCTATCGCAAATCAGTGGTGTAAGCCCTAATAACGCCATATTCGGATCCTGTGGTTCCAGCATGCGGCCTGCCCAACGGCTAATTGCGTAATAGGGGAGGGTATGTAGGTCACCCGCTAACCGGTCATTCTCAGCACTTCAAATGACAGATAGGGGATAGGAATATTGGCTAGTATAAAGCTATAGTCCCTGGAACATGGGGAATATACAGTATAACTCACCTCCACCAGGCAATTCCCCTTTAATCACGAACTCCATGGCTGTTCAGCGAAGAGGGAGGTCTTCGAATCAATATTTCATATGAAAAGGACAGGACAGATTTCGCATTTTTCCTTTCTTTTTTTTTCGGACCCATGGAGCATTGGCCATCTCGCCCCGCCTAATTCGCATGAGGAATTAATTTTCCGGGGGCACGGGGCCCTGTCGCAGCGGGACATCGGCCCTGCTACAACGTTCTGCTCGATCGCCAGGTGCAGCAAAGGTAAGGCTGATAAGCTCCTCGCGCAAGTCATCCTCATCACCCTCAAAAATCTCAGGAACACGCGAAAGCAGGAGCAATCTCTGGTCAGCGGACACATCGAGGAGATTCAGGCAAGCATTCCAACCTTCCAGGCTTCCAATTGACCAGACCAAGACCCGCATCTCACGAGGGACAGCGAGGTAACATCAGTGCGCCGGTAATCCCGTTCACATCCCCCCTCCTTTTCATCCCCGACCGTCTGCGTGAGAGTGAAGTCCCGCTTAACCTTTGCGGTACGGGCGACCGGTGGGAGTGAATTTCAGGGTTGTGCGGGTATTTTGTGATAGAAGGAGATGGGTTAGGTAGATTAACGGGAAAGCGGGGGCCAGAGCCGCATAGACTGTCGGCTGGGAAACTGTAGAGTACTAATATGGGATATCAGGTGGTGGCGCAGGATTATCAGCCACGTAACCCTGGGAAAGCTGCCAAGCGCGGACACGAGCCCCAATACCTTTTCGTGTTCCCGAACATCTACCGTACTAGTACTGTATTCCTACTATCCCTCCGCTCGGCCATATGCCGTAGTTGTCGGGACCGATGGCTAACCCCCAGTGTCTGAAATTTCGTCCCAAAATCTGGATGCTCTGTAGGATCGTACCGGAGTACTATGCTCGTACTAAAAGTGCGCGAAATGAA